TTTCTTTTTTTTTTATTTAATTGGGAAAAAAAAAATGTTTGTATTGGTGCTGTATAAATTAGTTGGGAACTGGTGAGATGAAGGTTGCTTTAAGTGTAACTTAAAACGTGGCGACATATTTATGGCTATTTTGGATAACTTGGCAGCAATTGGAGTAGGCGGAGGTGGTCAATACTTGTCCGAATAAGGAACCGACACGTGGAGGGTATGGGGAACAAAGGTGAAGGGTGGTGAACTTTGCTTGTAAACTTGTAAATTATATAAGTTCATGTATGTTTGTATGTATGTGTATATGTATATATAGAGACAGAAAGTCTTATCGGTTTCGAGCTAGCGTATATTGAGTTTTGGTGTATATGGTCCAAACTTAAAAAGTTCGAGTTATAACATATCCGATCGTAATCCTAGTAGGTTTCGAATTAGATGGACCAGCAACGAGTCGTTTATCGAAAAAATGTAAATGTATAAATTTAAATTTTAACTTAAACAATCTATACTATTATAAAAGAGCCAATGAATCTGTAAAAATATGATATCCCTAAATTAACCTTACTTTGTCATGTTTATAATGTCAATTTTGTAATTTAATACCCCCATTCTATACTAATATTTTTAATTAAACACATTCTAGATCTTGGGGTTTATGTATGTTGGTTTGGCCCAATTATCAATGCCGTCTATTTATCAAAATTTCTCACTTTTAAATATCTTGTCACTCCCCATTTTCACTTTTTGTCTGAAACTTTTACATTTATTTAAATAAGATTTTCAATGATATTAAAATCTGAATAAACTTTTAAAAATTATCAAAATGTTAAATTTTACATTTATTTAAATAAGATTTTCAATGATATTAAAATTTGAACAAACTTTTAAAAATTATCAAAATGTTAAGTTAGTGTACAGAAAAAACAAAATTATGACATTACCTTACCAAATACTCATTTTTTTAAAATTTATACAAGCAATGTATCTCTGTACCAAAAAAAATAAAAAATAAAAAATAAAAAAAAAATAAATAAATAAATAACGCGTTTAGTATGATAGATAAAGAAAAAACTAAAAAAAAAT